GCCCTTGTTTTTGAAATTGTAAAAAAAAAAAAAAAAAAAAAAAAAAAAAAAAAAAAAAAGATTTTGAGAGATTTTTTTTTGCTATAGGGTATGGGCACTTGTGAGAGAGACAGAAAGCAAGAAGTCACTCCCTGGGGGGATGGGCACACCACAATCCCTTCGCCTCCATTCTCCTCTCAGGCTTTTGGGCACACACGCACTCACGACCGTGTGAGTTTCAAGTGACCAGGTCCGAGACTTTAATTGTGGAAATCCAGCACCCTAACCACTACACCACCTGCTGCCCCTGCAATTTCTAAAATTTTACAATAGAAGAGTCTGTACTCTGGGCTACTGTCAGACCAACACAGCTCCCAGCCTGCCACCTGTCTTTGTGTGGCCTGCAAGCTGAGAATGGTTTTTAGATGTTTAGGTAGTTGAAAAACATCCAAAGGATAATATTTGGAGACATGTGAGGAAAAAAAAAAAAAAAACCCACATGACTTCCCATGCCGGGTGGCTAGTGGCTTCTGGGCACATTACTGCCCCCGTGCATCTGCCCTGGGGCACGGCTCAGCATCTGGACAGACTGTGGGACCCACAGACTAATAAATACCCAGGTACCTATTAGCCCGGCCCTTTCCAGGGAACGCTGCGACCAGCCCTAGCAGACAAAGCCCTGCACCACGGAAGTGAGACCACAGGGTCCCCCTGGGGAGCTGCCTGGGCCTCCTGTTAGCTGTCCCTCGCCTGTGCTTTCCTCTGGCTACGAGCTCCTGACCATCCTGGCTCTGTCTGAAGCTTCCACACTGGGACACAGGACAGTGCATCCCCCTTGGCCTTGACCACACCTGTTCCAAAACCGCACTCTGCCTTCCCATCCAGCCCTGCCTGCCCTGGCCACTCACGAGGGCCATCTGCCCAGTCCCTCTCCCCTGGGCTCTCCCTCAAGGCACTGGGCTTGCCCCAGGACTGTATGAGCAAGAACTGGATAGACAGGTTGCTTCCTTAGAAACGGGGGCGCCTTGGCCAACCGTGGCAGCACAGTGGTCACACACTGATGTGTTGACCCCACGTGGAAAGGCCTCGGGATCACCTCCCAGGCTCTTCCTGTTCACGCCGGGCGTGGCTGTGCACATGGTCCAGATTGGCTGAAGCTGGGGCTGGATCACAGCGCAAGGATGCGGTTGGGAGAGTCTGTCTGTCTGCCTCTGACTTTCTCTCTTTAGAAGAAATAAACAAATTTAAAAAGGGAGAGGGGCCTCTTGACAATCCACTGGTGATAATGCATACACACAATCTCACTGTTGTTAAAGACAGTGATAATACAGTTCAGCAATCACTCCGTGGGGTAGCGACCCTTATCCTCCGCCAGAACATCAAAAGTACGATCCGTAAATTTTTTACCAAAACACACACACTGACCCTAAGTTCTGTATGGAGAAGTGAGCTTTCCCCTGCCCCACCTGCTATGTGCAGAGATGGGATTGGAGGTGGCTCTGGGCCACCCTCATTCCAAGACAAACACCCTTAATCTGTAACCTTGTTGATACCTCATCAGGAAACCTCCAGGCTGACCTCCAGGATTGACTTGTAGGCATCAGTTTGTCAGAAATGCAGAAACTGGGGTCTTACCTGAGACCTACTGAATCAGAATCTGTATCTAAACCAGATCCCAAGGTGAAAACTTAAGCACCAATCTAAACCTTCTGCTTTGATACACAGTCACCCCTCAGTATCCATGGGGGATTGGAGCCCGGACCCCCACCTCTCCAGGTACCAAACTACGTGGATGCTCAAGCCCTGACATAAAACCTATCTGCACATCACCTGAACACATCCTGTACACGTGAAATTATCTCTGGATTACTTCTGATACCCAGTACTACGTAAATGCCGTGTGAACGGCTGTTAAACCGTATTGTGTAGGGACTAATGACAAGGGAGAACCTGTGTGGTCATTACCAGCGTCGCCACTCCGGCCTCCCTGCGTGTCCAGGTCAGCAGCCATGTAGCATTTGGACCCACCGCTGGCTGGAGGATGCGTGCACAGATCCAGAGACTGAGCATCTGGACGGCCCCTCCCGGGACCCAGTTTCTCTTTGCTAGGGTCCTGATGTCCTAGCTTGCCTAGATTTTCAGTAAAATCGTTCTCAGCACGTATCAAGAGAAATGACATAAACATCACCAGCAAACTAGCTGGCTGTTACCAATTCTGGAAAATTTAGTTGTTAACTCCCTGGACATTTTCTGCAGCTAGCAACACATTAATAAAAAGGATGAATTCACTGAGCAAATGAGGGTGATAAACGCCAGGTTTCTCCAAGGAATCCACCGTGAGAAAAACGAGATGAGTTAGAGCCCCATCAATGACAAGCACCACGCAACGCAAACGGCTATTAACACTAATCATAATCATCAGGACTAACGATCATAACATTAGGAATAACCCCCCTAATTTCCTGAGTAATTAACTCAGTAATAATAAACGAAGGAAATACCAACTAGTTAGTTTAAAGGCCAGGGGGACTTTATTCCTAAGTTAGGTTTGATGCCACGGAGCACCCCAAGGATGCTCAACGTGTGGGAGGGCGCCCGAGATCAGGGCAGAGGCGTGGGCGGCCGGCAGCCACCTGAAAGCGCGCGGAGCCAGGCCCGGGAGCTCAGCCCCG